ACCTGAAGACCTCAAGAACAAATAATTAAGCTTTGTGTATTTGGCATTAATTCCTAAAATTAAACATGTCTGTCAGTATACAGTTTACTTTTATTATGTTATTTTATTAATCTGATATGCAAAAGCTAATAATAACCATGTTTTCTTGCATGTTTATTTATCTATATGGGGCAGAACTCCTAATTTTGACTAATTTATTGCTGCTAACCAAAGACATTTTATATAAAAATTGGTGAAACAGGAGGAAACATTACTAGAGCAAGACCCACAGAGACCCTTGCAGAAGGAAAATATAATTTTTGTTTAGAACATGAAGAGATAGCAAATAATATAAAAATCTGGTTGCAAAAATGTGTTCCATTGATATGATCACTAAAACTTATGTTTTCTCCACATAGAGAGCCTACATAATGGAGGCAAGATGAATAGTCTAGCGCGATCTAATGCAAGTATTTATGGCAACAAGGAGGATCTCTATGACAGACTTAAGCGTCATGCTTACCCAGGCAAGAAAGGTAATGTAATGTCTTCTTCATGTAACTAACTCTATGCACCAAATAGTCACTCAGTCAGTCAAGAAATTTACAGCCTTTTATGGAACCCAAAAGTTCATTATCATGTTTACATAATCTCACCACTGGACTCCATTCTCAGCCAGATAATCTTTGTATACCCTGGCTTTTAGAACCATTTTAGTATTATCCTCCCATTCTTGGCTAGGTCTTCTAAGTGATATTTCCCTTTAGGTTCTCTGACTAAAATTTGGTATCCATTTTTGATTTCCACCACACCGTGCCTATCTCATCATCTTTGATTTGATCACCCCCATAATATTTCGCTAAGAGTACAAATTATGAAGTTTATCATTATGCAGTTTTCACCAGTGGTCTGTCATTTCCTGTCTCTTAGGCCTAAACATTCTTCTCAGCATTGTTCCCAGAAACAGAAATCATTAACCTCCTTAGCACTGTCCTCACACACAATCTATATTTTTCCTTTAAAGGTTTAAACACATCTGAAGCAAGATGTAAAGTTATAGTTTTGTATATTTTAATGTTTTCATATAGGTAGGAGACAGAAAAATGAATGTTTCTGAACTGAGTGATAACAGGCATTCCCTGAATTAAATCTGCTTTTAATTTCTTCATGAATATAATTTCAACTTGTTCCTGGTGTTTCCCAAATGTGGTATTTCAACTTCTGATCCAGTTTTGAAAGTTATTAACTGTCTTCATATGATTTTGTTCTACATTGTGATAATGTGACATAAACATTTACCTGTTTCTTTTGACCCACATAAAGTGGAAACATCCTAAGAAGAAGAAGAATAAGAAGAAGAAGAGAGCAAAGGACTCCTCACTTACTAACTTAATTGGTAAAACCAATTTCTTTTTTCAGATAAAAGTGATAGTGATAGTGAAGGCCAGTGAGATCTTTGAGAACCAATGAAGATGACTAGGTCATTAAAATGCTCAAGCAAATTTATTTTAGGATACGGACAATGTGTGGACATTATGACTGGAATTCTATGTACAGCACTAGTATACTTAGGCTGACTGCCAAAATCGAGTTTTGTTAGGATTTGTATGGACCAATCAGTGTTAAGGAATGTGTAGTGAAAACTCAGTCTTTGCAGTTGGTTTGCATGGAAGCTCCGTTATAAGTGAAAATGAAGAGCGACCATGTTGCTACTATTGCTACCACTACTTCGTCTCTAACACAATATCACATGCATAAAAATATTTTGATACTTCATCTTTTAATGTGTCAACATAGTTTTAATATTTAACTGGTACTATAAAATATATCTGTGTGTATGTGAAAGAATGTATGACTCTGAGATTTGTAAAAAAGATGCTATATGATTTTTTGTAAAAAGAAAGTGTATCATACTCAAAACACAGTAATTTAAATGCACTGTCAACAAAACAAACAATGTGAGTAACTAATTTTGAAAAGCTAATACATTTTATGAAGATGGTTCTACAAACAGGTACAACTCTCTAGTACATTTCAGTCAGTGCTTGAAGTGTGATGGGTTGCTATTTCACTTCTGAAGTGGATGTGAAACCGCGATGTTCCTTTTCTTACCGCAGTATATGCTTGATTATCTATGCTCAGATCATTTTTCTTTCAAACTGAATTACATGTCTGATTTATTGAAGGTTACTAAATTGCATGTCCTGTGAACCCACGCATATATTATCTACCTCCCATATTTCACAGTATGTATTTCTACAATCTGTTTTATGATGCATTCGCATTCTGCATACTGTCGTTGGATGATGTAATGAGTCTGACAGTAAGAGAAGGAGTAAAGATTAGACCTTCCTCTGCATGACAGTGCACTATGCTACTACTGTACTTATAATCAATAAAATTATGATCATGTTAATAGCATGTATAATTCATAATGCAGAGTAAGAAATAGACAACATTGAATGATCAATGGTTGTCTTTTGGTTGTGATTCCGAGGCAGAAGAACCAATTGTGATGCCCTCGGCCATCACCCACTCTGCCCACCCCCTTTCCCACCACTGAATGTCATGTCAACTTGTAGGTGGGTAACAATATTTTTGAGGAACATAAAGCCTCCATCTGCAGCCGAAGATGGAGGTAGCATATTCCTCGGAAACAGTGGTACCAACCTACAAGTCAACATGATGTTCGCAACCCAGAAGATAACCATGAACATCTTCACTGCTGTAAGAGTCTCAAACCCACTTTTTTTTAGATATTCATGCTTTCTGTTCCATCTATTTACTCAAATGATTAAGAGCTCACTTATAGCATGTTTGTCTGGCTGAAAGATGCCAGCTTAATCTGAAATGCACACAAACCATGCTGCTGTCTTCTGTCCTCCATTTAAAGTAATGATTAAGCCAAAGCATGTCTGTCCATCCATCTGTCCAGTCAATTGAACTCAACCACTGGATGGATTTTAATAAAATTTGATGTGAATCAAAACCGTATTTTGATTATCCTACAAGTGGTGGTAATAAAATGACAGGCGAGGAAAGTCATGAGGTAGACACTGAAGTGCTGTGATCTGGTGGCCAAAATGAGAACTATCAAAGAAGGTGGGTTTAATACCTTCAAATGAACGCTGAATTCCAGTACAGCGTACACTTTCTAAGTTTGTTGGTGAAGTGAAAGGCATAACTGGTACATAAATGAAGAATATACACTTAAAATAGTCACAAGTTATTAACTGTCACATTCTGTGAGTCTTTAAAAGATGTCAATTTTTAGTTTCATTCTTGATATATGTTTCTCAAACATAGGGTCATTTTTGTTCATTCTATCTTATTATATGTCCATGGTTTAATTAAAAGCTCAACTTCTCTGCAAATTTCTGTATTGTTCCAACATTTTCAAAATGTTACTCACAGTGTTACTACAATGAAGTAGTATCTACAGCCTCAGAATATTGTTATAGTTATTGTTTCTGTAAAAACATCAATGCAAAGTTTGATAGTAACATGATTATTGACAATACATTTTTTTCTAAAAAAAGCACAAAGTTTACTGGTGCATTTATTTCAATTCCATCCTTCTCCCACCATTTAACATACAGGTATATCAGCAAAAAAATTGAAAAGCATATTCCACCTCATACAAGTTTTGAGGGTATCACTTATAAACTATACTCTTAAGAAGATATTTGCTGTCTATATATTAATGATAAATAAGTGATATTTAAGTCAGAGGCACAACCAAGGAGAAGGAACTGGGATTGAAACTCCCGATTCCAGTGGTATAAACATGGAATGGGACTGGAGTTAAATATCCCATCTCCAAGTTCAAGCGCACACTGAGATATGGCAGAACTTGAGAACTACTATCCCCAAGAGGCCACAGAGATAGTTGAGCTATAAATATTCTAAAGGAACCTTAGAGTAGTTTATTTACATTCCATAGATCCTTCTTAGGACTCAATCAAAGGATGTAGAACATGTCATTTCATACAATATATTAATACATTAACTTCAGAACTTTCAACACAAGTACAAGAACATATTTTACATATCATGTACATAAACTTCAGATTCTGCAATACAAGTATGAAAACTAATTTTACAAATTAATATACATAAACCTCAGAATTTTAAATATAAATACAAAACTTGCTTTACATATAGATTATAGATATACATAAAGCTTAAAAATTTTCAGCAGAGATGAAATCATCTACATAATAGAAAGAGTGAGTGAAGAGGTAATCTTTCAATGCAGGCTTGAATACCTTTATATCATAATTTAGACTTTTAATTGTTGTGGGAGATTATTAAATAACTTCATACCTGAATAGTACACTCCTTTTTGATATTCAGTAAGGTTAGCATTTGGCACATAGAGATCATGTTTATGTCTTGTATTTAAATTCAAGTTTTCCACCACCCTGCTATGTTATATGTCATATTACATGTTTTCCTCAGCTTCTTATAGAATAGATCAGCAATGACCTATATTTTCACCAAAAGAGAAAAATAAAAATAAACCATTCTATAAATTGAAAGTTCCAAATAAACTTCTCGTCAAAGTAAATTCTGCTGCCTGTATCTTGGTAGTAGTCAATGAGAAGAGATGACATATTCACAGCGAATGTTTAGTATTAGCATTACATACGTTCATAATGACAAATTTTGAGAGAACTTCTTGCAATATAAGATTTTAATGAATATTACAGGTTGTTTAGAAGAGATCTTTTAGCATTCTGCGAGAGATAATTCATGTGAAGGCAAGATTATGCTGGCACTTCTGTGATAAGTTGCAAGCTTAATGGTATGCACCAAGGCAAAACCTGTCAGTTCCTCTTTACATCCACCATGGTCCCTGCAGTTTGAATTTAACCACCAACAACGCTAATTCCAATGTTGGCTTAAATACTTTTATATCATGATTTTAACTGTTAATGTTAAGTGGAAGAGTACTGAATAACTCGATTAGAATGAGGTTAGAATTAGGTATATGGAGGTCATATTTATGGCTTGTGTTTATACTACGTATATTATAATTTGTTTGAAACCTTCAGTGTGTTATTATCAGTAATCTACATAGTAACCATGGTTCTGTGTTCTCTTAAACGTTTCCGAATTGCCATATACCGATTTTTGTAGCGACCATAACAAGATAACTTGCCGTAATTGAACTTTGCGTTGTAGATATAAGAAATGCAAATCAGATGATATCCTGCTTGCATAATCACGTGTATGATAATGACAATCGTAAACGGAAAATCATAGTTTGAACGTATTCTGAAGTGAAATGTGGTGGTGGAAGAGAGAAGTCCCTCATCATCTACCTTTGGCAGAAGGTTATGATTGATTTTGAAAGCAGTGGTTGCTGTTATTAGTTCGTTGTGCTAACGTAATTTTGTTTTTTAATAATTTTAACATAGTTACGTGACATTAAATTATACAGAGCAAGGATAATTAAAGGATAATTATGTCTAAGAACCATAATCATCATATATAATTACAATATTTGAATTTTTTGTTAAAGTCAGTTCTATATTGGTAGAAGGAGTGAGCTAGGAAATTATATTTAAATGCTTGTATGTCATGATTCATATCCTTAATGGTTGCTGGAAGGATAATGAATAATTTGATTCCTATATAGTACACTCCATTCTTATATTTAGTGAGGTTAGCATTCAGCTTTTGCAGCTCATATTTATTTCTTGTGTTTGTTGTGTGTGTCTCAATCTGCATGAAACCAGGCTTCTGCCCCCCTGCCCCCAGATTTAGGTCAAAAAGAAAAATTGAAATGAAATATACAAGCAAATACACCAAATATAATACCAATAATAAAGAAAATATTTTTAAATAATTTATTTTTCTGTACTAAATACAAAACTTCCCCACAAAAGTTGGTCTTAAATGTAAGTTTGTAAGCAAATTTTCTTCATTCATTCTAATCTTAAAGTTCTCCAAAACTTAATATACTATTCAGGAATTACAATGTGTAACAAGTTGCTAACAGAAATTAAAAGTTCACAAACAGAAAACAGTTTCTCTGAGCATTAGGACAATTCCTTTTATCAAAAACCTGTTCTGTTATTCAGTGATCAGAGAATAATAGGACAGTTTTTTTCAATAAAAAAAACAAAAAATTCTGAATTTTGTGAGATTAAGTGATGTTGTTAGGAAATTAAGACATTGTTTTAGTAAGTTTTAGTAAGATTATCAGTATTTGTGCCACCAAAGGTAGTAAATTGTACTTTAGGCGTATAAAAATAATTTACCGTGTCGTGTAACTTACTTAGGGACTGTTCTGAATCTTCTGTGTGCCGTACGCCCTGTATGCACCTTAAACATATATGTTGGATAATGTAGTCTTCAGCTGTGGAGCACAGTAATCCATGTTCTGTTCCTCACATGTTTGAGAATAATGCTTGTTGTTTACTTGTCCACTACCAATTATATTAACTTCCATTTGCAGGACCTATTGTTCCAGGATGTAGTGATTTGATGACAGAATTTTCTCGTGATGGCTGTTTTATAAGACTCTTCTACCCAACTTCCTTGTCCCATATTAAGGTAGTTTTTGCATGAATACTAGAATTTTTTGTGTTTCATGTTACTTAAATGTGCATGATCTAGTAGCATTAAGGAATTGTTGTGCACTGTAAACTGCTAGTACACTTGATTAAATCATATGAAGTAAAAGGAATTGAATGATGATCTGTCTTCTGGGACATTGCACCATATAGTGTGGTAGTTGTTTACTGATGTTTCAGAGGTGCTTGCTGCCTCCATCATAATAATCTTCACCCTAATGATGTAGGCAGCAAGCACCTCTGAAACATCAGTACTTTACCGGACTACACGGTGCAACATGCTACAAGATAGTCATCTTCTTACCTGCTGTCATGACATGAAATCTCACCTGAGTGAATTTGATTAATGTGGTAGCATAATGCCCAAATTTATCATAAGAACATGTTTAGAGGAAGGGACATTTTTGAGTGGTTAGTAAACCTTGGTTTGAGTAATATAGAATGGTCTGAGTTAAACAAGGAAAGAACACTATACTATTGATTACAGATAATACAGTAATACATGGTCAGTTTTTGTATGGAATGATAGTTTAATATAGACTTGAAACAATTCCACATGAATTTAGGAGCCAGAGTATATATAAAAGTGCCAAAAATTCTAGAACTTTAATGAAAATTTTAGATGACCTGGCATCCCAGGATTTGTGCATACCTGGCTTAATAAATGGTTACTGTGTTCTTGTCTGCAAAATTTTGACAGATTTATTGTGGATACATTCCTCTTCTTTTAACTTTAGGTTTTTAAGCTTCTTAAATGAATGAATGAATGAAATGCTTTAGTTTATTTTTTGCAGAAACATTCAGCAAGATGGATTCCATGGCTTGCAGATGATATGTACTTTGAGGGATTTGCTCGTGTACTGCAAATATGGAAGTTTTTGATCAAGTTTGTTGTTTGGTTACTAGCAGGTAAGCTGATATTTATTTTAGAAAGGAGTCTTATATGTCATTAGAACTACCTTACTATGGACTACAAACAGTGCAGTTATGAAGCTCTTCATTATACAGTTTTCTCCAACCTCCTGTCATTTCCTTCCTGTCAGATCCAAGTCATCTTCTCAGCACACATTTCTCAAACCCCCCCCCCCCTCCCTCTTTCTAGGTCTTCCTCTTGTTCTGGAACCCTCAACTCTAGCTTCCAAAAACTGTTTCGCCTTTCTTTCATCTGCCATTCGAACAACATGTCCAAACCATTTCAGTTGTTTTTCCTTCAATTTTGTTCTAATTGATTTAATTCCCACCTCTTCTCTAATTTTGGTGTTCCTTATTCTATCCCTACGCGTTTTCCCTATTGATTTTCTGAGGCATTTCATTTCCACCGCTGTAACTTTAGATGAATATTTATTTAAGTTTGGCCAGCTCTTGCTGCCATATAATAGTGTTGGTTCTATAACTAATTGGTAGAATTGTTTCTTGGTTTTTATATTCAGTTCTTTCTTTCCAAATATTGTATTGTTTAATTGGTAATAAGCATTATTTGCCTTCTTTACCCTATTTAGGATCTCATTATCAGTTTTTCCATCTTCGGTTAGCATGACCCCCAAGTATTCGTAGGTTCCTACTTGTTCCAATTTCTCATTTCCACAGTATATTTCTATGTCTCTTTCATCCTGTTCTAATACATGCCTCCCTATTTTCATAATTTTACTTTTAGTACTATTTATTTTTAGGCCTCTTAATTCCAATTCTTCTCTCCATTCAGTTATTGCACCTTGTAATTTCACTTGGTTTTCCGCTATTAGCACGATGTCATCTGCATATATTAGTGATTGTGTCAATATACTCCTCATTTTCCAATTACCTACTTGCTGTTCTTCTTTTACATATTTTGAGTATCTCATCCATCACTAATATAAATAATAGAGGGCTAAGGCTATCGCCTTGTTTCACTCCCTTCTCTATTTGGAAAGGTTTGGATTCCTGTCCTCTTATCCTTACTATTCCCTGGACATTACTAAATGTACTCTTAATTGCTTCGCACAGTTTGTAAGGTACGGATTTTTTCTCCAGTATTTTTCAAATTTCCGATCTTCTTATATTGTCGAATGCAGATTTTAGATCTATGAATGCCAAGTATAGTTCTTTTCCTTGTTCTATAAATTTATCACATATATTTCGTATTGAAAATATATGATCTTGTGTCTGTCTATTGGGTCTAAAAGCCATTGGCTCTTCTTCCAATTCCTCTTCTGTTACTCTTCTCAATCTGATTTCCAAGATCCTAGTGTATAGTTTAAGGATTACTGAGGATAGGCATATTGGTCTATAGTTTTCGCATTAATATTTATATTTTCAAATAGTAGAAAAGAAGGCAAAACGATTCTGAAATGCATTATAGCAAGCATATCTACATTCTGTATTGTAAGAAATAGTTTGGTAATTTATTAATTTCCAAATATTTTAACGGTAGGCAATTGTCATATTCCGGCGGTGTGGAATGCGGATGTGAAACAAGAAGGTGGAAAACTACCAGTCGTTGTTTTCTCCCACGGCCTTGGTGCTACACGTTTCTTTTATTCTTCTGTCTGTGTGGAATTAGCATCCCATGGTTTTGTGGTAGCAGCAGTTGAACACAGGTGAGCACAAGTGTTCGCACATTTGTCAACTGTTTCGACAATAGTGACTGGAATAATTCAGCAAATCACCTTACTCTGTGCCAGTCTGATGATGATGATGATGATGATTTAATGTGTGCGCCTGGTGGTATGATGCACAAAGGGACATCGGGAGAGATAATGTAGGAGTGGGGGAACAGACAATAAGATAAGAAGTGTTGTATGGAAGTCTGTTGTTGCAGTCTGTTAATTGGAGACATTAGCACCAGGGTGGATAATATCATATAAGAGCTTACTGTATAATTAAATAAATCACGTAATCCAATCTGCCGTATTAATTAACAGGGAAAGAAGCTAGGGATATTCAGAATACTTACAAAATGAGAATAACAACATATTCTGTCATTGTAAATTAATTAACAAAAGCTTTGATTAACAAGTTTGTGTTTCATATATATTTGTTTAGTTTATTAATTGCTTTTAGGCACATTCACATCCCAGTGGAGCACTTACTACTAAATTACTTTGTCTGTCTGTCCATCCATCCATCAATCCATTCATATGCATATAACAACTCAAGAATGGCTGAAAGGATTTTCATTAAATTTGGTATGGAGATATGCCATTGGAGGTTACTCCAGTTGTGTATGTTTTATTTTCCTACAATTGGTATTACCAGTGGATGCTCAAACTTGTGAAATGGGAGGATGATCGTCTGTAGTGACGTCCTCTGTGACATGAATAAAAGCAAACAATACATTTATATTACTCTTTTCCTTTCTCCATGGTTACTGTGCTATGAGCAGTGTTCTTCCAGTCTTTCATGGGACGAAAGTCAAATCCTGGCTGGCACACCAGAATTGTCAGGCTCTCCATACATTTGCTGATTTGTTATTTGTATATTTAGGGATAAATCAGCTTCTGCGTCATACTATTACAAGTCAGAGGATGGATATACTGATGTGACACCTACGTGGATGAAGTTTAAAGTGATAGGTCTGGGACCTGGACACTATGCAGCCAGGAAGAAGCAAGTAAGTATGATTAATCAGTTGTCATGGGTTGTGATCTCTGATTTTAATACTGTATCATGCACATGAATTAAGAAATAGGCAGTGAGTGTGAGGGGTCCTTTCCCCAGGGAGAATGTGCAGGTGAAGCATGACACTGACCACTCACCCCCATCTAGTGCCAAGATGAAGAATGAGTATGGGCTGTACCCTGTCTCTCCCAAAATACTTTCACGGTGTGTAGCAGGTCAGCTTCACTGTCCAGTATTTCAGGGAAGAATGTCATGTATTATTTTAGAGTTAATGGTTCATAAAAATAAAATTTTATTGTAATATTTGTTGCTCAGATAATTATGTGTACATTCTTCATACAGGTAACAAAGAGGGTACAGGAATGCAGGAAAGTGATTGACATATTGGAAAAACTAAATAGTGGAATATATATTGAGAATGTTCTTGGCAGAGACTTCAAACTTGGACAGTTCAAGGTATGATTTAATCACTGAGGTTTCAGTTACTCATTGCTGTCTTCTGTGTTGTTGTGCTGTGAAGTCTGGTAGAAGTTTACTGATGTTTCAGAGGTGCTTACTGCCTCCATCATCAGGGTGATGACATTCATCGTATGACCTCTGAAACGTTGGTAAACATCTACCATACTACACGGTGCAACAACCCAAAAGAAAGAAATTTTCATACTCACCGCTGTGAAAACCTCAAATCATACATAATTTTTATTTCAGGACCGACTAAATCTGACGAGCCTAACCATGATGGGACATTCATTTGGTGGAGCTACAGCCCTCCTAACTCTTGGCTGCGACTGTCGATTGAAGCAAGTTGCTTTAAAACATATGAACACTGAAATTATAAAATTATGCTTCATCTATATGGCATTCTCGTCATAAAGCCCTTTCGTATTTTAGATTTGGTGTAATACTGGATCCATGGATGTTCTCCCTGAAGGAAGAATTAGATCTACCAAACATAATTAAGCAGCCATTACTGTTTGTCAATACGGAGACATTTCATGTAGCAACAAATTTCAATGCTGTAAAGAGATACACTGACAGTACACCAGATGAGTGTGGAAAGCGGACTGTTTTCACGATCAAGTATGTTTATGTACATTGCTGTTTGAGGTTATCACACATTTGCACAGTAAATGCAGCAGATCTGCTGTTAAAATTCTTTTGTAATTTATGAGGTAAGCAAAAGATTAAAAGATATTTTATTGTGAGTGTTGAAAAATGATCGTTCAGTTAGACGTATCTTATTATTCTAAATAATTGCCTGTTTTTCAATTCATTTGATCTAGTGGTTTCCAGATTCTTTCAGAATCATTTGAATTGTCTGGTAGTGTATTGTTTGTTTCTTACTCTCAGACTCGATGATAGATCCACGTCTTATCTGTGCTGACCGTTGGATTTTGGAAAGTATCTCCAACATGTTACTTTTTCAAATGCTTTTTGCTGACTTCCAAATATTCATATTTAATGCATGTATGTCAGTTGCTCCAGGATCCATCTAGTGCAAACTTAATGGTTTCCCAGCTCATGGTGAATGATGGCATAGGCAGGAGAATGACATGCTTTTTTTCTCAGTTGATGATTCAGTTAATCTATTTCTCAACCTCAGTACATGTTAACTGATGGCTGCACATCATCACCCTCTGAATATTTTTACCTGTTTGTAAACATCCTCTGGCTCCTAGATGTATCCATATAATGAACAGTCATTCTTCCAAATGTCACAGCTTTCAAAACAATAGATTTGTGAAAAGGAAATATACACAGTAAATGTCAAGTGGACTCACGTGTAAGGAAGGGGCATAAGGAGGAAGATATTGCTGATATCCAGATTTAACACCATCATTAGTGTTTGCACTACAATATTTCCTTTATTGCATATCAAAAGGTTCAACATTGATATTTATTCAATTTCTAGAGGAACAACCCATGAAAGTCAGGCTGATACTCCACATCTAGTGGGTTACTGGCTTAACTGGAAAATGAAGAAACTTCCCCCAGTCATAGCATCTAGAATAAACAACCATCTTATCTTGGATTTCTTACAAAAAAATATAGGTGTGTATGTTGCGTCTTATGTGGCTGTTATTACAGTGAAGTTTAAATTAACTTGAAATTAAAGAATTTTTGCTTATTATCACTTTCTGACTGGATAATTTAACCCTTGGAGTGTCAAAGTGAATAGAAAACTAAGCAGTTTTACTGAAAAGTGTGAGAAGTCCCAAAAATATTAATGAGTCTGCAAATATTACACAGTATTGGAAGACTGGCAAATGCAGTATGGTTTTCATGTGTCTCTCAAGGGGATGCCAGCATTCTTGCGGATTAAAGAAATCTGATCCCGAGTTATCTGTGTTAACATTTGTTTGATTTTATTTCTAATTTTGATGTCAGTGATGCATCCATCGATCAGCCAGCAGTATGATTAAGAACTAGAAGTTGATGTAATTTTAAAAGTAGTTGAGAGAAGTTACTTACACTCGAATTTATTCCTGTTTATTTTATTAAATCATGTTATGCTGAAAATTTTAAGTTTTGTTCATATGCTGTAGTTCTACATAAACAGTATTTTCCAAATTGATGATTTTTTAGGATTATGCTCAATTGTGACTGCTATATTTATTTTTTCAAAGGTTTAAACCATGAACTGGACACCTCATTCCTGACTGCACATGCAGAGAGTGTGATTGAAGGAATAATCGAATGGAGACAATGAACATAATGCAAATGCACGTATGCAGTTCGTAAGCTTCTTCTACTTGGACATAATTTTAAATACCTCATAGTTTTGTGCAGTGTTTAGGAATAACTTTTTCATCTAAGACTATGTTGTATTTATGATAATCATACAGATGAACTACAGAAAGACAGATTTTATGAAGAATGTATAACATATCTGATAATACACATGGGGATCAGAGAAAATGCTTTCTGTTGAATTCTAAAAATAAAGTAAACATAGTTTGTAGTCTAATGTATTATTTATATCTGTTACACACACATAAAAACCCATAATACAGCATATTCTTAGGAACTAATGTAATTCTGATAACTTTGGTTACTTCGTATTAGGTTTGAGGTTTGCAAACACTTTATTGCATCGGAGTTGTAGCGCGAGATCAGACACAAAGTTTGTGATGTGACTATCTTTCTCTGCTTTCTGGCTGTCAAAAACAACCACCAGTGTCATACGAGGATCTGTGCATGCCATAACATATGTACTTTGATCCTGAAACAAATTATTTAAATGACAGTTTTATTATCAAGATGGTTTCTAACTAGACCATTTGTACAAATCTAGTAGACTCTGGCACCCAGATGGAACCTGAAAACAAATACACTTAAACTGTCTACAAAAGGAATATTGATTAAATGGAAATATGCTTTTATTCAAAAATTTCTATGGTCCCAATGAAAGCCAGTGTAAAATTATGAAATTTTTCACCAAGGAAATAAGAATTGAACACAACATAGTCTGCTTCAAAATTCATTTTATGTTAAGGTATTTTTTCCTCACTCCACTTTCTGAAACATTCCTGTCACTACTGCGACATAATGAAGTTGTGGGATTTGAGGTTTTCATGGCGGTGAGTCTGAAGACTTTAAAGGAGAACAAGTGTTACAGTACATAAACAAACTATCTTAACGATGCAGTGAAGAATTTAGCACAAATCCTTTGTCATAGCTGATGTAGTGAAGCCAGAAATTAACAACAAATGAAGCACAGACATGGTATGTAACCATACCTGGTGGTGGCCCTTGATCCAGTACATATACTCTTAAATTTTCCAGATAATTTCATGTTTTCAGACAAATATTAAACTCACCTTTGGACTGAAGTAGTATACAACTTTGTCCATTGCAGCCAGTTCACTTGCTCGTTCTGTAATGACCTTGACAACATTTGGCATGTGATTTAGTGGCTTCTGCAAATAAATACCATGTAGGCATTGATTTATTTATACTCATTAGACTCTGTGCAACAGAAATCAAGCACTTAAAATTTCAAAAGTCCAAAACTGGAAATGATGTAAGTGTACAGCTGGTGTAGTAATTCCACTCATTCATAATTTCCTTATTTATCCACATGTGGACCATTGCTATTATTTTGTAAAAAAGCCAATTACAGAAGTCATAACTGGATCTGTAGGTTGAAAATTGTGTACCAGTGAAATATTCCAAGATTTTCATGGCCCTATAAACAGACAATTTTATTGGTCATTCAGTGAAGTTATTTTCTTGAACTTACTTTACTTAGTCTTGTGCTTGATTCACTGTGCCCTGGTTGCTGATTATCATAGAGTGGGACCACACAGAAAGCCAGAAATTCATGCTTATACACATACAGGAAGCAACTAAAATGACTTAAATCACTTACAATAGGACAGCTGACTGCGATCGGATAACACTCCAGGTCTTGTGGGGATTCAGCAGGTTTGTCTGGATGATGGTAACCTGGTCCTTTGAAATCTTCCAAGCCATGCGCATCAAATACTAACATTACGGCAACAGCGTCATAACGTCGCTGAAAATTTTGAATCCTGAAAAGTTTATTGGAAAAATATTTTGTTATTAAGAGACATAATGCTAACATTCATGTGTTCTAGTAAAATGAACCTTTACTGCAATATCAATTGGCATCCTGCACAATAAGCAATAAACAGATATTTATTGTCACTCAATCAGATTGTATGCTGTAGTCTCACATAGCTTTGACCCTTCCAAATATACTAACACACTAATCAACAGATGTCCTTTTTATCCTTCAAATTTCTGACACTGCAAAATAATTTGAGATTTTAATATGATGCTGTTTCTTCCCTTCCACTTATCTTCACATCAGACTTTTACATTCCTTATCGTAGTCAAAGTAGAACATATTCCAACTATGCTGTGGCCAAAGGACAATATTCGTAAGTGGCTTAAAGGTTGTGAATGCACACATGGTGATGAAATCATATAATTAACAGAGGCAGTGAAGAAAGTAAGAGCATAATATGGCAAGTACATTGTTGATGACACACCAGAAAGAACAGGGCACGCTGTTCTGAGGCTACCACTCTATCACTGTAACCTCAATCCACTACAACTAATATGGAATCAGTTTAAAGGATACGCTGTCAGGAACAATACTTCAAATAGAAGGAAATTCAGGCTTTGCTTGAAACAGCAGAGAAATGGTCAAATAGTGTACAGCATGCAGTTAAAGAAGATTTACTCTGGCAACTGGATGGGCTGACAAATAACATTGTTGAGATGACTTATCACCAACTCCAGCGATGAGAATTACAGTGAAGAAGGAAGATGGTTCTATGTTGGACATTGAACTTCCTCAAGATTCCAAACAGAGGTAGGCATATTGTAACTAAATGTGTCCTGAGTGCAGTAGACAGGATGTCTCTGTATATGTGTGTGTTCAGCACAGTAATGGTATTGGGTATTTGTGTAGAAATTAATACCAATTCCAGAAGCTTCAAAAGTACCTCCTCCTTAATGCAACACAGTGTTGCAAAGACTTATGTACACCTTATAAAATTAAGCACATGAAAATTCGTCTCTACCAGTCATCTGGCCTGGCTACAAGCAAATTCTCCACCCCTCTGTTTATGTCAGGATTGTTCCTGTGAGACAGAATGTAGCAAGAATTGCCAAGTTGTTTCACCTTCTGTGAGTAATATAAGAGAAATCCTTATTCCTCATGATGAAAAGCATTAAAGTATTCTAAATAAAATATTACGCATGTTTGCACATTTTACATAACATATATACAAGTTTCTTGCTTCGCATAAACAGACTCTAAGCTTTGGGCAGACTGCATCATGGCAGGCCAAGCAAAATAGATCTTGTTATATCAGTAATTTTACCGTCAGGAAAAGGGTCAAGAGAAGCATACGTTTTTCAACACAGAACAAACATATTTAATGAAGGTACTATCAGATTCATTACTTACAAAAATACAACTTTAGCAAATTAATTTGTTTCAGTTCTTTCTGTTAAGATATTACCATTTTAACTTCTTTCAAAATTAAATTAAACTTTGTTCACATACTTGTGGAAGTAATCATTTGTCTGTAGCTTGCCGCAGAGAGTCTTCATCTCTGGAGCAGACGTTTGTTGTACTAATGTTGAGTAGAAGTACAGAGAAAATTTTGCCAGAAACACAGTCTTCAACTTCAGTAACCATTGCAAGAGTGCTGGTAATTGACTTGTTTTCAAGAACGTAGCACCAAAACCTAATTTCCAAGACTGGAAAGAAAACAGTAGTTGACATGTTTGTAATATTCCCCGCTGAAATTAACAGAAAATATAAATTCATGTTGTGCAAAACATATGAATAATTAAATACCTTGGTTGAGAAAAGCATCTTTGTTTTCCCTTATGATATTTATGTCATCACCCAGTAAATTAACATCATCAGCATTGAGATAAACTGTTTCTAATTAACCCAACAGAATATGTACTCCCATTCTTTTCACCGATGACAGAAACGTCCAATCTCTGATGGGTTGTGGTATTTTTTTAAGTGGTTACCAACATTTTAAACCTTATCACTTCCTCCCAACCAACTACAAGACTACACAGAATCGTACTCCAGAAGACTGCAGTCGATACTTTACCTTTATCTCAAAATAAGCATGGATGTTTTTTACAGTCATTGTGTGTCATAGATTCAAGCAAGTGGACAGGCAATGTTCCAGACCTTTTCCCATACACGTAATAGTAAAAAATATATTGAATGACGGAAATGAAACAACTATCCAACTCACACACCTCTCTGTTCTGAAGCTTGGATTCCCAGGCAGCGAGTCGGGTAGAAGCAAGATGAAGTAGCATAAGGGACGGAAAGAACTTCCACATCTGCATTTCAAGTTGTGCTCTCAGCAAATGGATCAGTATCTCACATTCCAAGCTGTATAATATTTCCCTTATTAGCTTTGTACATTAAAGTTGGAAAGACAATAAGCATTCTTGTGATTGTAATTTAGGCATACCTAATTCCACTGCTTGCAGTTACTTTAAACAGTGTTTAAAGAATTTACAAGGATTATCAAGTTGTATGAATATGCCAATTCTTTTTGAACTGTACAGAAACTTCAGTTAATGTTAAACATTTTAAAAACAGTGTGTGGGAATGCGGATTGTCTTCTGGTAGTCTGATAGTCTCAAAGCTACAAGAACTTCTTGTAAATGTTTTATTCACAGAGGACTAGGTTTGTGACTAGGCCAGTCCATGTGGGATTTATGGTGAACAAATTGGCATCAGGACAGGTTTTTCTCCAAGTCCTTCAGTTTTTCCATGTCAGTATCGTTCCAACGCTGCTCGATATTCACTCATATGTCATCTGTGGGATGGACAAAGGGCCCATTAGAGGCCCAGTTCCATGGAAATATAGTCTCGCCCCACTGCACCTTTTCCAGTACAGTAGACTCCAGGTTGGTCGGGAAATATATTTTCCCAGATAATCAACAAAAATTATAGAAACACACACAAACATAACAAATATGTAAGTGTATTTATAGACATGCACTACTTAAACTTTAAATATTTACTAGTAACAGGATTTTATAAAAAATTTCATACAGTAGATACAGTTACAACATGGAAAAATTATCATAACAGTGTTAATAAACGAATGTACGCCAGATTTCAGTGGATAGTAATAATGTTCTGTTGTCATGAACTTCAGGTTTTAGCAAAACTGATTTATGGTGATATGTTAAGTTACGTCACTGTTGTATTTATTCCTTCCTTTTTAAATATTCTAACTTTTACAACAGATTTTCTGAATTTTTTTTTAACTTTCATTTAAACCACATAGACCCAGGTTAATCAGCCCCCTGTTAATCAGAAGTCTGCTGCACGATACATTACCTGAGCATATTTTCTATAGGAGTAAGACACATCTGAGGAACAGATGGTGCATTTCGTTCCATGATGTCTTCAACCTGTGCAAGCACTTCTTCGTATTTCATCTGCTTTCCTGAGCCCATGAGATGCATCTTTTCATAGCTAGTGTTAAGCTAAGGAATCATATTTAATACTGACAATAAATCCATTTTAATCTCAGAGATTCTATAAAGGTATGTGACTGGTTGATTTGGCTAACCCCAAACCTCGAAAACTGAAGGGCAAGAACTTACGAATGCTGGTATAAATTGTAGCTATTGAAGAATGGTGTCTTGAAAGTAACTGCATATAAGGGATTCTTAATGCCACCAGATTTAGTATATGGCTCTTGTCCCAGACGTTCTTAAGGTCATGTCATTATAATTTAATACTGTACAGCTACAATTATTTGTATGTGAGCCTCATACTAAAACTGAGCTGAGTTGGTAGGTCCCTATCTAGTCAGCAGGAGATTTAGAGTTTTTATAAATACATTTCTTTATTTCTGAAGGATACAGATCAATTAATTCAATACGTGCTGTGAGAAACAAACACAATTCATTAGCAACTGAGGTGAACGTTCTCATCTCATTGTTAAATGTAGAGGGTAGCCGATCTGAATTAGTAAATTTTGTCATTTCCTCCACTCGTCTGAAGTCTGATCGGGCAGAATCATACATTGATTTCAATGAATTCTGAAAACAATTACACTCAAATAAAGAAAATTCTGAAATTTTTAAAGTAAAGTAACTACTGAGATAGTGTCATAACATTGTTAACAATACATATAGTATGTCTCTTTAGTAGTGCAGCTATGTACACTGGTCTTGGATGTGGAAAGTGCAAGAAAATATACATGTTACCACTTTTACAGAACACATGTAACATATTGGTCACTCAACGAGAATATGTACAGTATCATGGTGGTGTGTGTGACATACACCAATATGCTGTAGCAAGTGGTGGCATGCAGTCGTACTAAGCTCAGATTGGCCACAACTGCTTTCCTATGAACATGCAGTATGCTACAATTTATGGACAATATCAGTAAGTCAAATCCCTGCATGTAAAATTAAGAGCAGATGTCATCAAATATCATGGTTAAGTCATTAGTGCTCTTTTGTGTTCAGGAGGTCCTGGGTTCAAGTCTCAGTCCAAAGACTGGATATCCTGACAAAGTTTTTCCTTAGTTTTCATACTTAAAATACCCATAACTATGTAACCATTCTGAATAGGACTCATTATAACAATTTTGTTATTCAAAATTAATTGATTGATCACCTCTTTCAATTTGTGTACTTCCTCCCTGAACATTCTGTATTTGACTTACATCTTTCCTGAGAAATCCTTTATTTTTAGTGAGTAAAAATCCAAGATCTCCATATGATCGCTCAGCAACTGCTATTTGAGGTAGGTGAGTGACTAGCATCCCCCAGGGGCCAGACTGACCATGTTTTGACTCGCGTTCATATTCCTGTACGGTAACATAAAAATACAGTTCGTTACATGAATAAATGTCAGTTGAATTTGACCTTTATGGGACATCACACCTAAATAAGAAGTGCTTCTGAGCGGATTGTTGACGGCAGTAATGTAACAACATTGCCAAGTAAACAGATGACGCAACAATTAGTTTCTTAGGTAACAACAATGTACGAAGGAGTTCATATAGAAGCTGACCATTGTTGTCGGTCCATATTTACACATTGTTGATATGGATCTTTCACATTTTCGTTACGCCTTTTTGCCGAATGACCCTTCCGCATAGACGTATTTATGTATCGAGAAGCACTGCTCCATTCCGACAGAAACAAATGCACTAACATTCCTTCATCATTTTATTACTAACAAACATCACTTACCACGAGTTCTTTGGCTTTATCAGAACCCAAATTTGCAACATGGGTAAAGAAATCTTTGAGAAATGACTCTTCGCGATCTGTCATCACATGCGAAGCATTTACACTATTTCGCAACATATCATCAGCACCACTCAGCATTGCTAATTAGCTGATTTCATTTCGAATTAGTTTTAAAGGTTGGCAGCATTAAAGTTGTGTTATTTTTTTATCAGTGTCCGAGAAGTTTACAGTAATTTAAATGTAATCGTTTAATTCTGGCTGTGAAATGATCTTGAATACACATTTCGAAACACATAGTACTGTAATGTAAAGCAAATATTTATGTATTAATATTAACATTCAGTTATATAGCACCAGAAAATATACGCCATTGCCACCACCATAATGTATAGATCACTCCAAATTACTACATTTCTTCTTTCTGGCTTCTTATTTACGAGACTCTAAATTAATTTCAGAGGTCTTTTATGCATATAGCATTAATTATGTGGAAAGGTTTACGGTGTAACCTTCACAACCGCACTTAACCCTGTATACAGTTTATAATAACTGTACAGAGTTCAGACAAATATGTATGTTGTTGCACCTGCCAATAATGTCGTCATATTGCGTAATCGCACAAGACGAGGACTCGGGGACAACCTCAAACGCCAGATAAAACTGCTGCGAACAGCAGTAGAGGAGGCAATATGGCGTATGTAGATTCGAAAGCTCCAGTTCGCAGTGTGAAGCGGGTCCAATTTGGAATATTGGCTCCCGATGAAATTGTGAGTGTAATTAAGAAATGCTTTATGTCGTGTGGTTAAACGTAAAATATAAATTCAATTGGGTTTATCAATGGACTTTGTTCTGTTAACAGTATTTGGTTTGAACCTTTGGTTGATTGAAATGGCTTGGGGACAAAGATTTTTTTTTACAGTTTTACTCGACCTTACATTGTGACCAGTAAGAAATGTAAACATTTAACACTGACAATATTTTTACTATACCCAGAAACCAACCTAAACTGTATGTAATTTGGTGTTTGAGAAATTTAAAATTCAGTACCATATCCTTGGATATCTAGGGTAGGAGTCCCCAATGTTTTTGATCGTAGGGTCGTAATAGCAATTATAATTACCATTGTATTATCATATTGTGTAATATTGCTGTCTTTTTAGACATTACCCACTCAAGAATGTGACCATCTTACAGCTCAGTATCAGTACTCAAACATCTTTATATGAATGTTCACTACTTATAATTGATTTGGATGTAATTAGAATCTATTATTAGTTAGTGTACCCATTTTTTTGCATATGCTATGACATATTCCACATCCTTGGCTTGTATTGTGAAGGATCTGTGGAATGGAAATTAATTTTAATTTTAATCTCATAGATCATACACTTGTAGTAATGTGGTTATCTTTGCCCCACACCAATTGTATTGATATCAGCAGGATTATTATTACTATCATCATCTTTTGTGTATTTAATTTTGGGAGAGGAAATGTACTCATTGTTCTCTATTCTGATTCACTGCCATGAATGTTTATGGTGTGCAGTTTGTATTTTTTTAATTGAAACCATAATATTGCTGCGTGGACAATTACTTGGGATCATGAGGTTGTCATACTTTTTGGCAAGTGCAGACCACCAGTATGTTTGTTGAACTTTATGCTGTAATATTACAGTTACTTCTCAACATGATCTCCTCTGCAGTCCACAAACTTTCTTCAATGTTCATGTAGTTTCATGAGTTTGTCACGATAGAATTGTGTGCCTTGTTCATGGAACCGCATGTTCATGTCTTCATCTGACAAGAAGTGGCATTTTGAGTTTTAATGCTGTGTAGATATGTAGCTAGTTATGAAAAACTTTGTGATGTGATTCAGATTGTAAAGTGGATTTGAAAATAAAGAGAATATGTAAAGAATTGGTTGATTCTGTAGCATATGATGAAGTAGGACTAAAAGCCATTTGCTATTGACATGAATATTGCTGATATGAAACTAGCTGAAGGGGAAGTTGTTGCAAGTTGTTTAGAAATACAGGAAATATAGTCTTTTAAAGAAGAGTTTAAATTTGTCTCAAACAGTAAGATAGTGCAGAGTTTCCTTGCATGTAATAAGCTAGGAAACTTCTTTCACATCCTTTCAATGCTCAGAAAGAGTTGAAGTCCTTGAAAGTGTAAATTATTTATGTGATGTTTATGAAACTTGCTGTGTGGTATGGGTTGCTAGATTATTATAACATGCTGCTAAAATGGCACAAAAATACCGTGGGTTAAAATAATTAATTAAAAAATGAAGGACGCTGAAGCTTGAAGTGCCTTTTGGGATCGAACCGTTAAATAGTCATCTGTTAAAAACTTGAAGTTCAGATTTGGAAAAGAAATATTTGTCATATTTCTTATGTCTTTGATATACTGAAATTCCATAATATTCAGTGACATGGTCTATATGGCTATAGAAATAAATTAGGTTGTAGTAACAGTGAAATATTTTGATATTGATCAATATAATTGAGACTTTGTTCTTCTTTTGTAGCGTCGTATGTCAGTAACAGAAGGAGGCATTCGTTTTCCAGAAACATATGAAGGTGGCAGACCAAAACTTCAGGGTCTTATGGACCCTCGTCAAGGTGTCATGGATAGAAATTCTCGTTGCCAGACTTGTGCTGGTAAGAACTTGACTGTTTTGCAGTTTGAAGATATGTGATCCATGCCTTCATTTATTGTTTCATCAAAGCATGAATATGATATCTGATGACTATATCATTGCTGGACTGGTAATGTGAAATATTTTAGAGTGCAGTGTGAATTATCTACTAAACATTCTATGTGTCTCTTTGCAGGTAACCAGACTGAATGTCCTGGCCACTTTGGACACATAGACCTGGCCAAACCTGTTTTCCATGTTGGTTTCATTACGAAGACGATTAAAATCTTAAGATGTGTATGCTTTTATTGCTCCAAAATGCTTGTCAGTCCAGTAAGTTCTCTTAAAATATTATGTGGAATGTCATGGTAACATTACGTGTGCAGAATGTTGGGTTGTAATGCGTGTCCTAAACTAGTTAAATGTTATGAGAGTGCCATGTCATGTTCCTGATTTGTGCCCCATTCCTTGGTATCAGTCAGTTTCAGTGACCATCTAAATTGTTCAGTGTTCAAAGCTTCATTAGCATTTCTGTTCAAAGATGCTGAAAGTTTCTGTTCTGAAAATGGTCCACCTCTTTCTTTAAGTGCTTTCTTTTTGTTAAATTTAGGAAATTACAGATCCCTTGTTACAATATTTGCTGATGTTGCAGTTTAGTACAAATTAAACAACACACGATATCATTGGGACTGTAGGTCATATCATGTTGTAACCTGCATGTGTTGGTCCATCAATTGCCTTCAAACAGTTGCGTGCAAGGATGTCTTTCTCGCAATTGCAATTTTCATTGTTCATTATAAAAATTGAAGATTTCTTCTGAAAAATTTAACAATATTTAGCATGAAAGCTAAAGCGAGCTACATACGTAACTACATACTTGAGCGGTACGCTTGTACAAATTTATTGTACAAGTATACATGAGCGTGTGTATGATAATATTGCACAAGTATTTTGACTGTACAAGCGACATGAAAATGTTTGAATTTCTATACTGTATACTTGCACATATTGTATTTTCGCAAGTATAATTGAGCGTGTGTAGAAGAAGCACAGACTTGTGCAAGTCTGAATCAGTAGCGAACGAACGCTTGGCGTTGTTGGAGGTACAAGTTAAAATTAACAGTTTCGCGCAATGTCGAGCAATCTGCGAAAAGGTAATCGTGAGGTAATCAAAGAATTTATTCGCATTTACCATAGCGAGCCATGTCTGTGGCGCATCAAATCAAAGGATTACCATGACAAGGGGAAAAGAGATGCTGATTACAACAGACTAGTGGAAAAATGGAAGCAAATAGATCCAAGCGCCGATCGCGATAAAGTGGTAAAAAAAATAAATAGCTTGAGAACAAATCACAGAAAAGAAAAGAAAAAAAATTCAAGAATCTCCGCGCACATGATTTTTTAGGAGACCAAGATATTCCTAGAAGCTCATCTTCCAATTTAAATGAAAGAGATGTAAGTATTATTATTAATTTTATTGATTGTTTTTAATTTTGTTTTATAATATTTTTATAAATTAATGTATAAAGTTGTGTTGCCAGGTCACTTGCCCTTCATTTACAAAGTAGTTCATAAATTCTTCCCTCACTTGTTTCGCATTTAACGATACATTTCCTACACGGGATCTCTGTAAAGGCTCCATATTCGAATCCTCCGATGTAAAACCCGTGTTGATAGTGCCATTTTCGATATCTTCAAAATCCAAAGATTCTTGCGGAGCGTAGACATGACTCAATGTTGATATTAAAAAATTATGTAAAGCACAACTTCCTTTTACTATAGAATCGATATGTTCCAATGCTACATTTATAGGTGTATGAAAAATTCTAAAACGTGCTGTCAGAATCCCAAATACATTTTCAACAATGCGCCGAGCTCTAGATATTCGATTGTTGTAAAAAAAATTTCTTGATGCAATCTAAATCACTCTGCCTGTATGGTTTTAACATGTTGATTCTTAATGGAAAGGCATCATCTGCTACGAAAACATACGGCAGTTTTCTTAAACCATTTGTCACTTCAGATTTTTTGGGAATGTTTAATAAGTTGTTCTGTAGTTTTTTAAAAAACACTGTGTTTTGAAGAACACCACCATCTGAAACCCTCCCATTAGTACCAAAATCACAGTACAAACCGATATTTTGCTTATAATTGTAGAAATATGAACCGCTTCCTGGTGGAGGTATGATTTCAACGTGTTTACCGTCCAGAGCACCAACACAATGAGGAAAATTCCACCTCTCTTTACAATCATTTGCTATAATCTTCCAATCATCTTCTGTTTGCGGGAACTGGAAAAAAGCGTAATTTTTTTTTAAAGGAAGCTGAGGAGCCATCAGTTGAAGAATCTCAAACAATGCAGCCAACAGCAGTTGGAATATGTAATTCACCTGCAGAAGATTCGATTCGATCATCAACACCAAAACGAAAACGAATGGCATCAGATAAATGTGACAGTGTTCTACAAACTATAGAAGATCATTTTGAGAAACCTAAATTGAAAGATGACCGATATGATATTTTTGGAAAAAATGTATCGATGAAATTGCAAGACTTAACGAATAATATTCAAAGATTGTTGGCAGAAAAGATAATAAATGAGGCATTGTTTATGACCGAAATGGGTCAGCTCAACCTGTCACATTGTATTACTGCATCTTCTACATTTAATGCGCCTCAATATTATAACCCCAATTTTATAAATTCGGTCCCTCCTCCTGTTAAAGCTCTCGGATCTCAAGATACCATCACAGTTTCGCCACCACTACATACCCCTAGGGAGAGATGTTGATGTTGATAATAATTACAGTGCTACCGAAGACTCTAATCATTCTCTTGCCCCATTTATTTCTAACTACAACGATTGTTAACTTCTTAAATTTGTTATTATCTAATAAATAAATTTGGAGTATACACAATGTTTTATTGCTTACCTTCAAATAATTTGGTTTCAGCACGTCATATATTGCACGGCATGTTTCAGGAATTATGTAACTTAATGCTTGTGGTGAAATTATAGTTGAAAATTTCAGATCGTCGTAGCTTCTTCCTGTCGCAAGAAATCACAAGGTTGTTGTTAATCTTTCATGTGGGGTTATAGACTCTCTCATGATTGTGTCCTTCCTTTTAATCATAGGGGTGACTAGTGATAAAAGTTTCAAGTACGTTTCTTCATCCATTCGCAAGTAATTATGCCAATCACGAGGGTAAATTATCAATTCATTTAATAGATTTTCTTTTCTTTAGCCAGTCTTTACACCAAAAGCTACATTTCTTTGTTGTTTTCTTTCTCTTAAGAACTAAAACGAGAGCAGCTAAAGCGAGCGCGTCGTCATCGTCCGTCGATGACATGGTTCAAGCGTACGCTGACACTGTTCATGTATACTTGTGCCATGTGGAGGCTATATGGCACTCAGGTATGCTTGTACAATAAATTTGTATAAGCATACTGCTCAAGTATGCAGTTACGTATGTAGCCCACTTAAGGCATACAATTTTGAATCCTGAAACCATCCACACATTTAACAATCAATTACCTGTGCTTTAATTTTAAAAATTACTATTAGCTGGAAGTACAGATGATGCGGATGTGCAGGATTGCTCAAGAAGTAGCAGTAGTAAGAGGGATTTCCTGTTTAAGACGAAGATAATTTTTATTTCTTCTTTTTCAGACGAACCCTAAGATCAAAGAAGTGGTAATGAAATCAAAAGGACAGCCCAGAAAACGTTTAACTTTTGTATATGACCTTTGCAAAGGTAAAAATATATGTGAGGGTGGTGATGAGATGGATATTCATAAAGATAATGCAGATGACCCAAACATCCAACAAGTGAGTATAATTTGCACAGTTTAGTAAGGCAGCAGAGTAAGTCATCTTTATTTTTTGAACCTGTAATTTTGCTTTTCTCTGGTAATGTACAGCTTTAGCTTGGTGTGTTATTGAAGCTGTAACCAGAACTTGTACTGTTATAGCCTCATTTTGACGCAGAAGAAACTGTGTATCCTGTGCCACACAGTTGTTCATTCCTTTGGTATTTGAGAGAATGAAGGAAGCCCCATTTGAATCCATGGGATCTATGATTATATCATGTGCTTCATTAAACTTTAGTTTAATGAAGCACAAAATATTGGACGTTTGAAATGAAGTAGTATGGAATAACAATGCGGGTAATTAACTGAAACCCGATTGTGGACTGTTCTTGGCAAAGGAGTTGCGGTCATTAAAAATATTCACCGTAGGCATCAGGGCAGGAGTACCATTGACACACCGGCCAATGTAACATAATGTGTCATTGATTCAGACTGACACATTGTATGCGATTTTAAACTTTTGTTTATTAGCCACGCAAACAAGGGCATGGAGGCTGTGGTCGATATCAGCCAAACATCAGAAGAACTGGACTTGACCTGACAGCTGAATGGAAACATGTGAACGAAGATTCGCAGGAGAAGAAAATAAGTTTGGGTGCTAAACTCAGGCATATAACAGATGAAGAATGTTATATCTTGGGAATGGATCCCAAGTTTGCTCGACCTGACTGGATGATAGTAACAGTTTTGCCCGTTCCACCACTGTCGGTTCGACCTGCTGTTGTTATGTATGGCTCAGCACGAAATCAGGTACGTCATTTCTTATTTTGAGTAGGCATATGTTTACTTTTCACTTTTTGGTTGTTATTAAAGCAGATAAAATAGCATTGTGAATGTCGGCCATGGGGGCTTCTGTGAGTTGTGTTGCCTGGCTTGCACGTGCATAAAACTTGTTATTTTTAGAATTGTCAGACAGCAATCAAAGGATCTGGGACCCTCTGACCTCTGAATACATGCTAGAGCCTTGTAGACAGTAGTTGATTATTGTCAGTGCTAGTGATTAGAGACAAGAAGCAGTGATTAGGTTAGGTGTGCGCACGCCTGCATGTGTGTGTTCATGTGCGCATCGTACTGCAAGAAGACGATGATTAATACCAGTGTGCAATTTAGGCAGGAGATTGATCGGTCAAGATTTGTGATTTATGGTTGTAGAAGACTGCGATGAAGAAAATAATTATTTGTAAATTATTATGAGATCAGTAAATTCATATTTAAAATAAAGAACCCATTGAGTTAATTAGTGATTTCTGTTACATTAGTTGTTGTGTTATGGGTTCTGTAAAAGAAACTCTAGTAACTATTAAGTTTTGTTTGTTTGATACATCATGTTATATTTTTGAGCAGGGTAAACGTTAAATTATACTGTGTATCTGTGGTGTTGGTGTATTATGTGCATATATTTATATTTGAAACATGTATAGATGCTACTTGTAAGATAAAAAGAGCACAAGTTGTGTTTATGGACAGTATTGTATTGTTCGCAAAATATTTATTGTTACATATGAGATGAAAGGAAACAATTCCTGTAGTTAATTGAGCAGTATTTTAGGTAATTAACAGTGTGGGCTTCCACTTCCTGTTTTAAATTTTTTATTATTCTAGGATGATTTGACACACAAACTTGCGGACATTATAAAAGCAAACAACGAACTAATCAGAAATGAGCAAGCGGGTGCTGCGGCACATGTTATCTCAGAAAACATCAAAATGCTTCAGTTTCATGTGGCTACGCTTGTTGACAATGACATGCCAGGCTTACCAAGGTTAGTAAATAATTTTTTGTATGTACTGGTGTTTTGTCTCTAAGCAGAAATTTTTGCCATTGACGTGATTGTTTTCAGGCAGTAGTTTGCTTATGCACAAATGAACATGGTAAGAAAAGGAAATGAATGTAAATATGATAAGGAGTGGTGGATTAAATCTCACATCCGAATCCAACAAGTTGCTATTGGATTTTGAATTTGCTTTAAAAAACAGGTGTCTCAGAGAAATACAGAACGATGCGTTCTTCTCAGCTCTCGGCTGTCATAACCAATTAAGTCTTTCAATATAATCAGCTTTTTTTTTAATTTTTATACAACAACGTTAATTTGTATGTTAAGGATTCTGTGGAATTATTTATATAAATGTATTGTGTAATTATTTACCTTTTGTAATGTAGAGCAATGCAGAAATCTGGAAAGCCACTGAAGGCAATCAAAGCACGGCTGAAAGGAAAGGAAGGCCGTATCCGTGGTAACTTGATGGGGAAACGAGTGGACTTCTCTGCTCGAACTGTCATTACACCTGATCCCAATCTCCGTATTGACCAAGTCGGAGTTCCAAGATCAATCGCTCAGAACATGACATTTCCAGAAATTGTGACACCATTCAATATTGACAAGTAAGATGACTTATACAAATTTAATTTTTTCATAAAATATGGTTCATAAATCTTGGTGCAACATATGCAAATTGTGATGAAGGATTGGACAGTAAACATGTTTCTCCATTTCATATGTGATCATTTTCTTGCCATAGAATGCAAGAATTAGTGCGCAGGGGGAATTCCCAGTACCCAGGAGCAAAGTACATTGTGCGAGACAATGGTGAACGGATCGATCTACGTTTTCATCCGAAGTCATCTGACCTTCATTTGCAGTGCGGTTATAAAGTGGAAAGACATATACGTGATGGTGACTTGGTTATATTCAACCGGCAACCTACACTACACAAAATGTCCATGATGGGCCACAGAGTAAAAGTTCTGCCATGGTCAACATTCAGGATGAATCTCAGGTAGGCAGTAAATTATTAAAAATATTGTTTTTGTTCGCTTAGCTGATTTAAGTGATAGAATTTTGTCATTAAGGAATTCAGTTACAATTGTTTTTAGGTAGATTTTGTAATTTAATGAACTTTAGTTACTTCAAGTTTTACATTTGTGTGTACATATAGAACATGAATTAAGTTTTTATGAAATTAGAAAATGTAATTTTATTAACTTAAGGGAAAAGTTGTATTCTATAACTATATGAGACAATCCAGTATTCTGTTTCTGTCCCTAGATCTAAAATAAACATGTGCTTTCGAAACGGGTAAACCGGTCCACTTGCATTACATTGACCTTTTTTAAATAAGTTTCGTGCATTATGTCGCAGAAGAAAGCATGCTCAATTTTACATTTAAAAATAGGGGTTGTAAACTATATCTTGTAGGTAAGTAAAGTTTGGAGTGTTTTGTTGTGTGATTATGTTGTTTCGTCCTTTGTAGCTGCACATCACCGTACAATGCTGACTTTGATGGTGACGAAATGAATCTGCATGTCCCACAGTCAATGGAGACACGAGCTGAGGTGGAGAATATTCATGTGACACCTCGCCAGATCATCACACCACAGGCCAACAAACCTGTAATGGGTATTGTGCAAGATACACTTACAGCTGTCAGGAAGATGACAAAGCGAGATGTCTTCCTTGAGAAAGTGAGAAAATTAAGCTCTCATGAATGTTTAATTAAAATCTTACGTATTATGCAACAAACAGACAGTGTCTCAGTTTTGATAGTATTACAGCTTAACGTTTCTTAATTTTTCTTCGGAGATGAAATCAGACTGTGAGACATATAGACCTTGTAATTTGAGGTTATGTTTTATACCTTATCTGAACTCCATGTGCCATGTATATTGGTTCACACTTGTGCTTTGTATTTAGCAAGTTCAGTTGTTTACCTGAAAAGCAGGCAGTGTGACAGCATTTTTGTCGCTTTCCTCACCCTCCAGGCAAATACTGTGATATTACCTTAAAATCTGCTTGATTATGTCCTCCGTATGTCATTTCTTGTGAATACTGCATAATTTATGCATTTTGATTTAGTGTTATTAAATTAACCAGTATCAGTGGAAATTTCTTTAGCATTATGAAATTGTGATTATAACTGGTGGTATGCTTATGGGGAAAATGCAAATGTCATTGTTAAACATATAATCATAAATTCTTAAGGCGCAAGTAAAGACTTGGCACAGAATAGTGATTAATCAGTGTTTGTGCTTCTGAAATCCTCAGACTTCATTCTGATCTGTATTTTGATTTATTCCTTTTTAGGAACAAATGATGAATCTATTGATGTTTCTTCCCATTTGGGATGGAAAAATGCCACAACCAGCTATTATGAAACCAAAGCCTTTATGGACAGGTAAGGTGACGCTTCTGCGAAAACACGGACGGGTTAAATGGTCAGAACCACAATTCAGAGATTACTTCTTTGTGGACTTTGTGAACAAGGCATACTTTTGTTATTAAATGTAGCTGTTGAAAAGATTCTTAAAATTGACAAGAAGTGTAATGAAAGTACTTCTTAATGCATATAAAAAGTAAAGCTGTCCCACTGGTTAATAAAATTTGTTTTTACAGGAAAGCAGGTATTCTCCCTCATCATCCCTGGAAATGTAAACATGATCCGAACACATTCCACACATCCAGATGAAGAGGATGATGGTCCATTCAAATGGATTTCTCCTGGGGATACAAAGGTTAATGCCATATTTCTGAATCATAATATTGTAATAATTGAAATCTATATTTTAAGTGTATTATAATTCTTTAATTTTGAAAGAATGTAGTGATGAGCGTTTACTTGTTTGGAGTTCTGTAATTGTAATTGTTGCAGGTAATGGTAGAGCATGGTGAACTTGTGATGGGTATCTTGTGCAAGAAGACCCTTGGAACATCTGCAGGATCATTGCTGCACATTTGTATGTTAGAATTGGGTCATGAAGTGTGTGGGCAGTTCTATGGAAACATTCAGACTGTTGTGAACAACTGGCTGCTCCTAGAAGGTAAAATGCGTATATTTTCCTTTCTGAAATGTGTAATTCCTATATTTTATGTTTCCATTCTCAAGATAAAATGAGGAGTTAAGTAATGTGTAGTGAAGGAAATTTTGTAAGAGTGTATTATGCAACACAAGTCTCAATATCTGGATTTTCTTGTGTCTCATTGTTTCTAATTACTGTGTATGCATCTTGAAAAATTGTGCTGATACTGAAGTTTGTAAGGCAGATTTATTGTATTGGTTTTCAGGTCATTCTATTGGTATTGGAGACACCATTGCAGATCCTCAGACATACTTAGAAATTCAAAAGGCCATCAAGAAAGCCAAGGAAGATGTGATAGAAGTGATCCAAAAAGCTCACAACATGGAACTTGAACCTACACCTGGTAACACTCTAAGGCAAACGTTCGAGAATCAGGTAAAGCAGATTACTATGTAAAGTTTATGCTGTGTGTTTATTGAATGCTTGTAAATAAAAGTAATTAGATTGTTTATATAGGTGACCATTTTTCTCAATCTGAGATTCAAATGTAAAAAAAAGTGTTGCTATAATTATGTTACTCTTCACAGGTGAACCGCATTCTGAATGATGCTCGAGACAAGACTGGAGGCTCGGCTAAGAAATCTCTAACAGAATACAACAACCTGAAGGCCATGGTAGTATCTGGATCTAAGGGTTCCAACATTAATATCTCACAGGTAATATTTCTTCCACGGAGAAGTAGAAGTTTTTGAAAAAGAAAGTAATTGCATGCAGTTGAAATATGATCCAGCTAGCTCAGTATAGAGTCCGGTGGCAGGCTTTTGTGAACACAGCGATGAACCTTTGGGTCCCGTAAAGAATGTGGGCTATTCTTTGATAAGCCAAGTATGTAATTGACTTTTCAAAGAATGTCCTGCACCATAGAGAGAGTAAGTTAGTGAGGGAGCGAAATTTAATCTTAATGGTAAAAGTAAAGTTTGTCCCACTATACGCCATGTAGGCGTTTGGGGTGAGTGGAGGTATAGCTCCTCTCTTCCTTTACCTCTGCACTAGATGGGGGTGAGTGGTCAGCATCACGCCCCGGCCGGATTTACCCCCGGGAAAGGACCCTGGTACCCATTGTAGAGGAGGCTGGGTGGGCTCCAGAGCTGGTCTGGACGCAGAGGCTAGAGGAAAAATCCTCTGCCCCCGTTGGGGATCGAACCCCGGTTGTCCAGCCCGTAGCTAGTCACTATACTGACTGAGCTATCCCGGCTCATAATCTTAATGGTACTTCAGTCAATCAATATGGGGTTTAATTTGCCCATTTTGCTATTTCACTAGTATTGTGGTTGTAAGATGTGCCAGTCACTTGTGTGTGTTTGTGTATATCAACATTGCTAGACTATACACCACAACGTCCTAGAATACTTACTATGATGAGAACCAGAAATTTGCTTTGCTTAGTTGATTGTAATGATCTTTGAAAAATATATGGCTTTTATAAAGGTAATCCTTTTTATAGGATGTAAAACAACACAAGTGCATGAAATCTGTATTTAGATTTTGTTTTTACCGGAGTCCATTGAAGTGGTACAGTAGTGCAATAAACGCTGATTAAGTTGTGTAAAGATGAGAGTGTGGAATTATGATATGTGTTATATTTGCAGAATCATAATTTTTATACATTCTTAACTTTGCAGGTTATTGCTTGTGTGGGTCAGCAGAACGTTGAAGGGAAACGCATTCCTTTCGGATTTCGGAAGAGGACGCTGCCTCACTTCATCAAGGACGATTATGGTCCAGAATCAAGAGGTTTTGTAGAAAACTCGTATCTGGCTGGGCTTACTCCCTCCGAGTTCTTTTTCCATGCTATGGGAGGACGAGAAGGTCTCATTGATACAGCTGTCAAGACAGCTGAGACAGGTAAGTTGGGTATACGTGTGTTTTCTGTCACTGATTGAAATGTAACTTCAGAATTTTACTCACATGCTTTTGGGGGCATTTACAATTTGGGGGTACAGGATCAGGCTTTATTTCCATATGCTGATAAAATAAATTGAATGTGAATTGATTTTGAATTATTTGGAGGTACTGACAACAGTTGTTATCTTGTTAATTGTTATTAGAAGCTAATATAATTCCAGTCTTTTTTCACATTTGTCAATAATTTTCTTCAGGATATATCCAGCGTCGGCTGATCAAGGCTATGGAGTCTGTCATGGTTCATTATGACGGAACAGTGCGTAACTCTGTGGGGCAGTTGATTCAGTTGCGTTACGGTGAGGATGGTCTGTGTGGAGAAACCGTAGAATTTCAGAATCTGCCTACAATCAAATTGTCAAACAAATCCTTTGAAAAGAAATTCAAATTTGATCCAACAAATGAAAGGTGAGGAACTTTGTAATTACAGTGTGCTAATTACTTTATAGAAATTAATGGGGTTTCATTTAAATTGTATATTCTAAATTTATTATTTGATTTATTAATGAATTTAAACATACTGTTATATGTAAGACTTGAGGTTCTCACAGCAACAACCCAGAAGACGGAAATCTTCATACTGTTATATAATTGTTAGAAAAAGAGTTTTGCGTATAAATGTTTCCATGCTGTTTTTTCCTAGTTATGAATAAAGTGTAACTTCGGTGAACAAGTATTTCCTACAACAAAACCTTTATTATAATGACCAAAATTACGTACAAAGATTTGGTGATCTCTCTGTTGTTTTCTTGGTTTTGCCAAGGAAAAGCAAAAGCTGTTCTGGTTAATGAACCATTCATTAGGCAAAAGCAAAGTATTTTGTAGGATCCTTACAGATGAGAACTCTTCATTTTTTCTGAAAGGTGGGTTTACCATTTCAGAGCAAGACGACATACACACACATTATCAGGTGAATTGATTGCAGTGCTTTTTGTACCTTGAATTAACCCATGTTACTTTTTTTCTAGATACTTGCGTAGAATCTTCAATGAGGATATTCTGAAGGAACTCATGGGAAGTGGTGATGTAATATCAGAGTTAGAAAAGGAGTGGGAGCAGCTAGTAAAGGATCGTGAAGCACTGCGACAGATTTTTCCCAGTGGAGAAAGCAAAGTGGTATTGCCGTGCAACCTGCAGCGTATGATTTGGAATGTGCAGAAGATCTTCCATATTAATAAACGTGCACCAACTGATCTGAGTCCGCTAAGAGTCATTCAAGGTAATTACATTGTTTCTTTTTATGCTTTAAGGAATTATGACAAAAATTGCCATTATTCTCGAGGACCTAAAGGATGTTAATGTAATAGTCTGTAAATTTTGTGTTTGTTAAAATTGTGTTTATAATTTATTTCACTGTCTCTTTTAAGTTGTAATCCAAAAAATGTTAATATCACTGTTTACTCTGCCTATCTTAAGGTGATGTTAAATTTCATTTAGATTGTGCTGTCTATAAACATTTGTTGAATAAAAGGAGTTAAGTAGTAATAACCTGAATGTTTTGTGCTTCCTAATTAATGGAATGTTAGGATTTGAGGTTTTCACAGCGGTTGTTCCAAAGATGGCTTTCTTCCATGTTGTAGTGCTGTGTAGTGTGGTAGAAGTTTACCAGTGTTTCAGAGGTCCTTGGTGCCTCCATCATCACGGTGATGAGTCACTCATCTATGAATAGAATGTTGATTACTGTATTTTAGCATCTAATTCAAATTAAGATGGTGTTTGTTCACAGGTGTAAATGATCTTTTGAAGAAGTGCATCATTGTGGCCGGTGATGACCACCTTAGCAAGCAGGCTAATGAAAATGCAACTTTGCTTTTCCAATGCCTTGTGCGCTCCACACTATGCACCAAGTGTGTTTCTGAGGAGTTCAGATTATCTTCTGAGGCATTTGAGTGGCTTATTGGTGAAATTGAAACACGATTTCAACAGGCGCAGGTATGAAAGATGGCGATATTATAGTAATGTAGTGTAATGTATTTTATTAGTGTGATGCTTTATTGGATAATATTGTAAACATTGCAATGGTAGTGCTGTTACATGAGGCCTTCTAGTACACGTATATCTATACAATGCTGTCAAACAGGTGTTTTAAGTGTTAGCTCCTCGCAGCTTTCATAATTAAGAACATACAAATAATGAATTTAATATTCATGTGCTGCTTTGTTGCACTATTCAATAAAAATGTGTTTTTTCAGTAGTACTTGGACTTTTCCATTATTTTTGACAGACAGTTTTCCTGCTAACTGAAATTTGATGTTCATTTATGTTATTTCATGCATGTGCGATTTAGCCTGATGTATTATTGTGTGTCATTCTTCAGGTTAGCCCAGGTGAGATGGTAGGAGCCTTGGCTGCTCAGTCGCTCGGCGAACCTGCCACACAGATGACATTGAACACATTCCATTTTGCTGGAGTGTCATCCAAGAATGTAACGCTGGGTGTGCCTCGTCTGAAAGAAATTATCAATATAAGCAAGAAGCCAAAAGCTCCTTCACTTACGGTGTTCCTCATTGGTGCTGCGGCGAGAGATGCCGAGAAGGCTAAGAATGTCCTGTGTCGCTTGGAACACACTACATTGAGGAAGGTAAGTATAGGCTCAGAGAAACTTAAAAATCTTAAACTTCGTAGAGAGTGAACACATCTGTTACATTTGTTACACGCATGAAGTGATTAAGAAATTTGAGATAACTGTCATAACTGTGCAACTACTACCGTGAAGATGGAGGCAGTACATGGCCTCAAATGATTGATAACCATGATTGTGAAATTTAATAATATTGCATTTCTGCACATTCAGACTTCAGACTGTTGTTTGTCATTGGAATAAAGACTTTTATGCCTGTGCCCATTGTTTCATATTGTTTCAGTTTCTTGTGTGTTGTTGTAGTTTAATTGTAAGGAAGTTATCATATTTGTTCCTATTCCAATTCTAGGTGACTGCAAATACAGCCATTTATTATGATCCAGATCCTCAAAACACTGTAATTGCTGAGGATCAGGAATTTGTTAATGTGTACTATGAGATGCCTGACTTTGACCCGACACGCATATCTCCCTGGTTGCTCCGCATTGAGCTTGACCGAAAGCGGATGACAGGTCAGCTGCATGTTGCAATTAAAACTACCTGCTACTTAAAAGTTTATCATTGATAAAATCAAATTT